TCCACAGCAAACCATTCTTGTTGTGTTCCATGAGTCGGGAACGCATGAGTATCCTAAGGGACATGGTGTTTTGGAACAGTCATGAGCTGATCCAGTGGACGGAGAAATGTATACGGATTCGGAAACAGCACACGCTGAAACATTTTGTGAACCCTGCACTGAATGAACTAGACTGATCATGTCCAATTAGCGCTAGCATACTATTTACCTGCACTGAAGCAAAAGTTGTAGCAAACTTCCATTGAAGCGAAGTTGTTTGGATTTCCTCCACAACCAAGGAACGTCAACGGTTGGCATTGTTGCGAAGTCGAGTTGAAAGAGTACCTGAATTGATCGATACCTGACATCAAGTTTATCTGGACGATAAACAGATGTCCTGCAAACAGTGTCTGATAAGATGGGTAACGTGTGAATGGATTCTCAACTGTATTCATTTTGATCATGTCACGCACTAGTCTCACAACGACAACATTCATACTCCTTATCTCTGAGACGAGGTAGGCGTGGCTGCGCTCATCATTTGACCATATCGCACGCTAGGTCATTTGCAGAGGTTTTAATTTGAGACAACCGCCATGTGGTCTCGTGTAAGGCGAACACACGATTATAGTTGCATCAAAATCATACCCTCAACAACGCAACCGCCGTCACGTCAAATTAAGTACGCAAACACGCCTACCGACATCTCAGGGATTTGAAGTATACTCAAAAAAGACCATCTGGTCCATTCCAATGATATTGTGGTCAAGTTCTTTCTATGTAGACTACGTATTCGTTTCACGTACTAGAGACAAAGGACACGCAACAGGTCCGTGACCCCACCCACCTTAACAGTAACGCCCGCGCCCGTACTCAACTGTTCACATGCACCATCGTAGAATAAACTCCTTTGTCCTTCCCACAGATGAATTTCTATCAATCACCACCACTTTTGCCTTGCACATGAAATTTTAGAAACACTTTTTACAGCAAGTCGTCAAAAACTTTTTCAGCTATGTAACAACTAGTCGGATTGCACTGTAGTGATTGATATTAATAATGGTATTCCTGTGCCATAGCCTATATCATACCTTGGAACAAACGTCCCAGTGTTGCTGTGACCCGCGCTATGGACTCGGTACCCCTCCCCTTCTGACGCCTCTTATCAGATCTTATCAGCTGATATCACTCCCTGTCACCCACCAATAATGTTCCCGTCACAGCCTGTATATCACTGCTTGGAATCAACTTCCTACAGCAACTGGGACGGTCGCTATGAATTTCGTGACAGACAGACAGACACACACGCAGACATACATAGCGAATTGTATATAGTAAGATGTTGAATAACAGAACCCTATGCACTAGTTGACTCGTCCATAAAGAAAAATCTGGTCATACAAGCGTAAAATAAGAAACTGCTTTTCCAGGGAGTGGCAAAGAATCGCTGGAATATCTGAAGAGCTTGCACAAGAGAAGCAGGAGAGCATGCAAACGAGCAAGAAGGCAGTATACCGACACGGGAGAAGACACTGATATTTCGGCGTAATCACTTGCATCTGAAAGATGCAGAGTAGCACTTTGCTCATCGCACTCCTACCCTGCAAGTTCTTCCTCAATTTCGAAAATAAGGGAGAGATTTAAGTGAAAAATGATCTTTGAGCAGCGCCAGAGAGAGAATTTACGGCAGCATTCTCTAGTCCGGTCAAAGGAGCAGCTCACGCTGGATCTTTCTTTGATGTCGTCGCAATCGGTATGGGCGGTGTCAAGGGGGCGCAATGAGCCACCCCCTGGCTCATTGCGCTCCCTTGACACCGCCCATACCTGCTCCTTTACCAATAGCGATCGACTCAAAAAGAAAACAACCAGTAGTGAAAAGGCCACGGATAAGCTTACTCTATCCCTCTTAACATTGCTCCCTCTGTGTGCGGCGATACTGAATGGGAGGAGTCTCTGCAAGTCTACATTTTTATTGATGCGCCACTCCTCTCTCAGGGTGGGGCACTCACCAATGAAACGTTATAAAAATGGGTCAAGACCCCGCCCACACAAACACCGTTGACTGGAATTCCATTTTATTGGAAGAGCGGTACGATTGATTGCAACGATTATCATTTAAGACTTCCAGCAGCTTTAACTTGTCCCAAAACATTCACGAAAAATAATGTAGGGACTGCGTTCCAGAGTTTAATAGTGTCGTTGACGTATCCTTCAAAATCTAAGTCTAACCCAGAGAAGGAATAGGTTGCAATTTACCTCAGAACACTTTGCCCACAGTCGTCTCCAATGTCAGGTTGCTGCTTGCAGATATGTTGCTGTGACGGACAACAGTAACGCACTTCGCCTCCTGTTTGCAATACCTGGATCGAAGGAAACCATTATCAATGGGACGCCTGGAGAACGATTGAAAAATTTTCATCAAATCAGCAAAAATACTCTAGTGAAACTAACCGATTTCAAGCATTCATGCCCGGCAGGACATTGAGCGCTAGATTGGCACTCGTAGATCTCTCCATTAGAATGTCGATAAACCGTTCCACCACTAGGACACATGAGCTCTGAAAGGAACAGCCAAGGTGGTCTACACAGGACAGAAAGTCTTGCTACAAATAGCTACAAGATACCTGGCCTAGAGCAATACTCCATGCACATTTGCTGTACAGGGAAGTTGTTCGCGTTTCCACCGCAGCCACGAAAGAGAAACGAACGG